TGTGTGTGTGTGTGTGTGTGTGTGTGTGTGTGTGTGTGTGTGTGTGTGTGTGTGTGTGTGTGTGTGTGTGTGTGTGTGTGTGTGTGTGTGCACATTGTTCGCTTAAACATGTCTGCTGATGCGTGCTGCTCACTGATGGCTGCGGACACAACACATTCTGTTCTGAATCCACAACCAGCCTCCAGATGTCCATAAATTTGTAGTAGGGGCAGAAAAAAAAGTGTTTATGTGTGTGTGTGTGTGTGTGTGTGTGTGTGTGTGTGTGTGTGTGTGTGTGTGTGTGTGTGCATCTAAAAAACACAGGAGAACCTGTGTTCTGTGGCCAGCTTGACAAAACAAATGAAAAACCAATTTGGAGAGAATACAAGCAGCATCCCAATTTTCTCCAACAATTTACTTCACCAATTACAAACCCAAAAAGAAAAAAAGAAGGTAAAAAAAGATGTTTTGTGGCTTTGATGAAGAATTGTAATTACAAGAACAGGAAACTTTTCACCGTCTTCTGCGGCCTGTCTGTCTTTGTACCGAGCTGGATAGGATGAGTATTTTTACTTTTTCTGAGACAGAAGAAAACGTGATGATAAATTGTGAGATAAGAKTACATTAACTTCACAGTTTTAGAAATAGCTTCAACTCTGATAATTAGTCTAAAACTAAAAGTTTATGTTCCTTTAAGGAATTCAAGGCTTTTATTGTTTAACTTAGTTTCTTCATGCAGCAACATTTAACATAAAATTTAATAAAGCTTAAATCAAAATATGTCAAATCTTCCTGGTTCTCACTAAATATTACATTTGAAAAATAAGTACATTTTAGCACCATGAAGAGTATGGAGGACCGAAACTGACATAATTAGAAATAAAGCAGACATTTAAAAATGGACCAATAAATACAATTAAATTGCACCAATTCAATTAAAAAAATTAAAGTTTAGTTAAAAACAAAGGCAATAAGGAAAATACTTAACTGTGCCTTTGTTTTAAACTAAACTTTAACTTTTAAGTTAAGCTGAAACATTCGACCTCCATAAAAGAGTTGTTTCAGTGCAATTCTTGATCCACAAATGGCTGCACAAAAAAGATTGTTTTAATTGGCTTATTTGGAAAGAATTCATTATTCTAAAATAATTGGTGTGATTTTGTAAATTTGCATTCAAATATACTCTGAAAATGTTATTTTTACTTCAGCTTTAACACACTATAATTAGGCTCATTACTCTTAAAACCACATAAGCCCCTCCGCACTTCTGACTGAAGAACTGCTAAACAGTCAGGCTGTTTCCCTTTTCGTCGCTGCTCTGTCAGCAGTGTGGAGGAAAGCTGTGAGCAGAACGATACCGAAAGGTGAAGTGCAACTCAAAGTGAAGTGTCATAGCAAAACGGCGGCTCTTTCTCGGCAATCTAACACGAGAAGAAAAATCTGGCAGTGATGCACAAACTCCTGTGAAACTTTGAAACCAGAAAGTGTTGGGCTCTGTGAGGTTGTCTCTGCTGCTGATCCAATCAGAGTCAGATTTAAACTGAACTCGTGTCACTTATTTAACAAAAATGTCACAAAATGTTACTTTCCAAACTATATTCATGACTTCTACTCATGAAAATGTAAATGTTTAGAGAATTTTAACTTTTAAGGTTTAAGTTGTCATCAGTTTAGCAATYTTAAGTGAAATGCACACACATTTTTTGTGGCATTCACTTATTATTCATTTATTTCCCATTARGGCTTTCTCTTGCACAGAAAGCTGTATTTACCTTCGATGGGGCAGTAACGAGTGACCGCCTCAGGCATCAGCTGGCCCTCCTTGTGTCTGCAGTACACCTCAGCGATCTGCTGCCGGCACTCCTTGCTCTTTGCTCGGGACAGAGCTGATATGGCTTCCTTGCCGCTGATCTCACACTTGGGAGGCTCGTCGTACGTCACCTCCAGCGTCGCGGCGGTTGCCTGCTTCCTGTGGGGGTGCTGGTGTCTGTGCTGTGMCTGGGCGGGCTGGGGCTGAGTGGCGCGGTGGTGCTGATGCTGCTGCTGGCCTCCCACCATGCCCTGACCACCAGGGTAGGAAGTGTTGTTGCCGATCGCTAGCGACTGGTGGCCCACCGACAGAACTTCGTTGGAGCTGTGGCCCGGTCTGTGGGAGTTGTCGTGCCACGCCTGCAGCTGGGCGTTGGCCTGCAGACGCTCCCGCTGCTTGCTGCCGGTGGCTCCTAAAGACTGGCGGTGCGGCTGAGAACGTGCYCCAAAGTTACTATTATCTATGTTCTCAAAGTCTTTGGGCACGGAGTTCTCAARGTTGCTGTCGACTCGATTTTTCTCCTTTGGTCGGTGGGAGTAGTATCCATCCTGGAGGAAGAAAAGTAAAAATACAAAGAGAGCATGAAATAAACAGTTTGAAGTGGGGAAAAAACAAGACAAAAGGGAAGAGGGGTATGGGGTGCCATTTGTAAAGTTACACAGTTAGAAATTACCACCAATATTTTCATTTTATTTAGCCTTTTATAAGAAAAAAACGAACAGATTTATTTTTCAAAGTCAGTTTTTCA